AATAATAATAATAATAATAATAATAATAATAATAATTATTATTATTATTATTATTATTAATATTTACTCTTTATCATGAGTAGTATTATAAATATTATAAAGAAGACTTTGAATACATGGTAAATATATGATGTAAATAGTACATTTTCATGCAAATATGTAAAGGTGATTCGAGTACGATCGCAACTCGCGTGGAATGAAAATGTGTTCACTTCACCATAAATGTCTCATACAATTATGTAATAAAATAATTTCTACAAAATTAGACAGTATTGTCACAGTTGTGTCTGTATCCACAAATAAATCATCAGATAATAATTCACTGCTGAGAGAATTCTTGGTCCTGATGTTGTTTCAAAGTTGAATGACGCTTTTCTCGTTAGAATGAGATTTGTTACAGTTGCATGCACACGCTGTAGGAGAAAATATACGTTTTAATGAAGTTATCAATTGCCACAATAACGTTGTGTAGCCTCCTCATACAATCAGCTATAAATCAATGTGGTTTTTTTTACATCGGAGGTTTGAAAGTGTGCCAAGGATACAAAAGCGCCAACCAAACTATGCCATCCAACTTCGCAACGCTGAGGAACACTACATTAGCATGGAGTACGGGTGAACTTGATCTTTATGTTATCGCAATATCTCCTTGCCTTATTCTTAACAGATAATGGATAATTAATGAACACCTACGACAAAAATAAATTAATATAAGAAATATTTTCTAGCAGAAATGAAATATATGCGTACATAACGTTCAAGGTCAGCAATAGTGGGTCTTTTCTTAATATTGACGGTAGGAACGAGTTATAAATTCATTCACGACTCCATAACGTATTTCATGGCAGGGACTCACGAGTTGAATATGAAAGAGAAACTAAAAAAAAATGTAAAAGGACCAGGGAAACCCGTTTACGGAGGTATAAACACGCGCGAGTATCCGCCGCGCATCTCCCAATATTCCAGCTGCCGAACGCTCATGCGTTATTCACGCGGTGAGCTGCGCCCCTCGTCGCCGCCCCGCACGCCCCCTCCCGCTTACCTGCCCTCCGTTGACCGCCATCGCTCCCGTCACTCACCCTGCCACGCCCCCGCGCGCCCCCGCGCGCCACCACGTCCTCGTCTCGTCCATCGCTGGCCCCCGCCACGCCTCCGCCACCCCTCCGAGGCTTCCCCTGGCCACTGCCTCGCGCAAATCGCGCCTCGCCCCACGGCCCCACGTTGCGACGCGCCGCAACTCGCGGCGACCTTTTTTTTTATCGTCAGTCCATACACATGGGAATATTCCTAGCGCAGTTAAGTCTGTAACATACTCCAAGTAGTATATTACATGGGCAATAAGTTATTTCTATCGATTATTCAAAAGGTTACTCTCAAGTTGAGTGAGGAAACGTGTTAAAAGATGTGTGATTGAATTAATTAAAGTGGTACCAAAATAACGAAAGAAAGCAATCTAAACCCCGCGTTTAAAACAATATCTTTCCAATATTGGCTTCTAATGTCACAGCTACTTTATAGTATTGGGCCCCACAAACTTTAGTAGTTTAGTGGGTAGTGTAATAGTTGTCCTCTTCCAAATCAAAGTGCAGATTCGTCTAAAGTGATACATATTGAAAGAGTGGATTTACTGTTGCTGCGTCGGGCAAGTGGCATATCGTAGTATCCTGGCTGACACTGAAAAATGAAATCCATTTAGCACAGTAGCCCCAGTGAGATAACGAATTCGCTTGCTAGGAACACCACATCTAATGATTTAATAATACTTGGTTGGTCGGTACGTAGATATAATATGGTTGTTACGCAGGTAGTGAAAACAGATGTCGATATCTGCAGGCGCAAGCAGTTCTTTTCTTTTAAATATTTCAGATGGCCTGCATATAAACATACTTAATTTAAGTAGTATTCACAAACATTGAAAATAATCATTGTGGGGCACTTATTTATTCTGTCGTCATTACAAAGTATATTTCCAGGCAACATCAATCTTTATAACAGTAAGAAAACAGCAAAAAACTTTGTAATGACGACAGAACAAATAAGAGTAATCTCATTGTTTGTCTTGAATACCTGTGGATACAGTTAAAATTAAATTATATTAATAGGACAACCCTCGGTTAAATTTTAACCATATTGAGATATATACCCTGATTATTTAAACACAAATTTCTTTACATAGGAAAAAATATAAATAATTGTGTATAGAGAGTCAAAGAGGTAATTTAATAGACCCTTGCGTGACATGCCGCGTTCTAGGTGCAGTTGCCGTCATATTGCGAACTTCCTCACAGTGAACTGTTCAGACAGCTTGCTATGTTTTGACTCCGACTGCGGAAGCCTACGTTTTCACAAAAACACGTTTCCTGCAAGTAACAAAGACTCCAGTCACATAGTAATTAAAGTCTCAAGTGCTCGTAAAGGAAGTCTTTCCTCTCTTTAAATTCCGATATAACAGTTATTGTTCCAGAGTGGCAAAAGACAGAAGTGTGAAAGCGCATTCAGTCTAGTATAATACAGAAAAATAAGTGACTATGGATTGTGTAATTTTAACTAATGGATTGACTAGGATTGTGTAATGTTTACAAGTGAAATTTAGAAAATCAGTGACTAATATTTTCAAATTGTACAACTCAGACAACCAACTACCACTGGCACTTGGAAGTTTAATCAAGGTGGCGTGTCAACTTCCCTGCGTTCCGCAGGATTCCTTTGCCCTACTAGGGATGATTAAACTAGTAATAATAATAATAATAATAATAATAATAATAATAGCAGGTAAAATTATATATATTGAAAAATTAAATTAAATTATTTGAAGAATCATTTAATATCATACTGTTTTATATATATTCTTGCCTTACATTCTTGGATATTTTAGTTATTAGAAATTAAACTTCACAGGTCTTCTTTAACTCACATAATTAAATTAATAAGAATTTTGAATAAACTTTCCCTCAATCTATCAAATAAAAGAAGATAGTCTACGAACAAAAGAAGAATGGAAACAGCGAAATTTCTGCCCAAGGTGCTGCGACACTGTTTCAACTCAACGAAAGGAATTTTGCCTACGAAGTGTAAGAGGGGAGAGACTCTCACGGCATGTTTAGCACAGCAGCATATTGTGAGCGACGCTGCACCTTGTCTTCAGTCTGACAGTGTCTCCCTGGTACAGCGAGTCTCCAAATGCTGCTTCACGAACTATGTTGGAAGTGTGCCTCTAGTGTCCGGGAATTATGCGAATACTTGTATGTCGCCATCATAAATAACTTTCTTAAAATATAAATAGTAAAAATTGTATAGACAATTGGAAAAAAACAAATAGTAAATTATAACTTTAATAGGAATTGAGCCGGCCTCCGGTTACTGACCGTGCGCGTTCTTTCCTTTTCATTCCTTGTCTTATCCTAACCCTCACTTACACACACACACACACTTCCCCGCACAATCACACACGGGAGAACAGTCGGGAGCCCAGGGCTTCTTCCGGCGGGAGCGGTGTCCCGCTGGGGGTGATACCTAGAGAGAGAATTTTCTCCAAACCGATGCTTCAAACGAACGCCGGATCCCATCAACATTAAATTCACTGCCATTACACTAACGGGTTCAATGGTCAAAGTTGCCGCGTCTTAAAAATCAGTGAATAAATGAATCAAAAAATAAATCAAATAGTAATTATTGAGGTCTTAAATCAAAAAAATTAACCATTTCCGTAACTTCAGATGTTGATGCAAAAATATAAATTAGTGATTTATTCGAGACCACTCTCAAGTCTTTTTTGACCATAAAAATGTGATTATTCTAACGGAGTGCATATCAATTTTGCAACAACATTCCAGAACATACATTCCGACGCTGGCCAATTGAAAGAGTTGAAACTGCGAAGAGTATGTGTGATTCACAGCGCAACTCGCTTTGCTTACGACGCCCCAGAATATTCCGATTCAAATCGTTCACTCCCCTCGCAGATATGAGCACAGTATCACGTGAAAAGAAAGTGCAACCTAGCTTCGGCGTGAAGAGTGGATTATTCTGGGGCGCGTGGACGCTCAGAAAAGCACAGCCTTTGGCCGCCGGTGCGGGCGAGGTGAGGGTAGTGAAGGCGGCGATCCGTGCCAATCGACGCCCGCTAAAATTACCCTGCGTCGCCGCCCGGCCTCGGCCCCGGCTCCTGCGGGACCAGCTCCTGCCCGCCCGCCGCCGCTGGGCCGCTGGGCGGAGGCGTGGCTGAGTTGAGCGTTCGGGTGGAGATGGACGCGCAGGTTGGGTTGAGGAGTGTTGGCATATAGGTACGTGGGTGGGTGCGGGCGCGTGAGTTGGTGGAAGGACGCGTGGGTGGGCGTGGTTGCGTGGGTGAGTTTGTGCTGTGGTTTTGGTGGACAGTTGCGCGGAGGGCAGATGCGAGTTAGGTGTCAGCGCGGCCAACCAGGGGGGCCGGGGG